GTAATATATTTTATTTGATACATTCGCACGTGAATGACGTAGGTTAAATATAACCCTGTATATCTGCGGCCTGCGCTAGATAATGCAATATTTATGCAAGGACATACGCTACGTATCGTGCGTTCGTATGAAGCGGTCAACCGGCAAACCCATCTTAATTTTATCTATAATTCTGGAGCACATATCAATGCTCGAAATGTTGCGTGAGTTGTTATTCCGGCGCTTATGTGGCTAGACGTGCGATTTTCTTTCTCCTGTCTAATAAAGTCACAAAGAAAACTCGACCATTTGGCTAGATTTATTTCATAGCATCGAACGTTTATCGGATGATTAAATAAAAATGTTACGCAAGTCTATTAGGGAATTTAGGATTGGGTAATTTTAGAATTTTGTATTATTGTGATTTTAGTTTTCAGTTGGAAGATGTGGATATTAGATTCGTAGGTACCCGTCCGTTCTAGTCAGTCCCGCATTTGAACCCACAGTGTCAAGGTGCATGTTAACTTGGTCATGTGTTTATTCCCATGTTTTCATATAGTGATTATTTAGGTGTGATATTTTGTTGTATTCTGTATAGTTAGATTAGTTTATTCATGAGAAATGTTTATTAATACTTTGTCTTTTGTTCGTATTTTGTTACTTTAGGTTATATATTCTTTGTTATTTTCCTTCTTAGGAGAGTTTTGGAATTCAGATTGAAGAGAGTGGATTTGCGAAGAGTCTTTCATTGCAAGCCTTTGTTGTTGGGGTCCACGTTAAAGTACTATAAGTACGGCTGGCCAAACCTGTGAGACCCCAGCACACGCACGCACAACCTAAATATCGGCGCCTGCGCACCTCGGCTGCGTTGTGCTAAGTTCGAAAAAAATTCCAATTTGTATCCCTGAGGGGAAATAATTTCAACATGAGCAGCGTATACAGAACACGAAGCGACTTGTTTTAAACGCTGCCAACGACCAATTCCTTCCACGCCAAGACTCCTGACATTCTCTGCGAGAGCCAGGGAGGGGACGTGATTTTCTACTAATTATATATAATGAGAATAAAAAAAATTCCTTTAACTTTGAGAACAATGAATTCACCCGGGTTCTTGGTAACGACGATAAATGCTTTGCATATTTACATAATATTACATTTGTATATTTAGGGAAGAGCTTTTATTTACACATGTTTGGTTATTAGTATTGTACATTTTATCCAAAAGCTAAAGAAATTAAAGTCAAAAGCAGTTCTTAATAGAATTGGCATCAATTTTGACCAAATAAGAATACTATAAATTTACATATTTTTCAGCTATGTGAGTAGCCACGCGTTGGAGTGACCGCGTGTAATTGTTCACTCTCCACGACTGTCAGATGATAAAGCTTTAATTATTATATGTTAATTAGTGAACAACATGATAGTATTTTAACAAAGCTTCAATTCAAAGATATTTAGATTAATTTTGTGCAAATTTTTAGCTCATTAGAACTCACCGTCGCTACTTAGAAATTTCTTGGCAGGCTGAGTCAGGAATGAATAATGCTGAATAATGCTCATGCCTAGAAAGTTCAATTATTTTTCATACCTTACATTTGCATTATTGAATTTTTTATTGTATCATAAAATTGCTGATATATTTTGGGGGAAATCGTTGATGAAAGTCGAAAAAATGTAGTTTTTAAGAAATTTAATAGATTCAAATTGTTTATATTTTTTAATAATGAACTTTTAACGAGAGAACTATTCATGTAATGAAATTCATGAATATAATATATCATATTAATTATATTAAAAATTATTATATTATATTTATATTCTCATTCAACGAAATGTACAGGACGTAACAAGTGGACGTTATGCCCTTCATTTAACGAAATGTACAGGACGTAACAAGTGGACGTTATGCCCTTCATGTAACGCAATTTACAGGAGTCGGGAGTGTTAGACGTGGGAATGCTAGCAGCGCGGTAGAGTCCCTATAGGTCTATAACTCGTGCCAAACTTTTGTTGTACCGAACGCACTATGGTTCGGCTAAGGCACGTAAGTCAGTGACCAGACTGCTCTATATCGTCTTACAATTGTGTTTCATACTGGGGAAGAAAACACGGTAGGAGTTCTCCTCATTTATTGCATCAAGGTTTGGAGACCAGAATACGCACTGTATTACATAGGTATATGTAAATGATTACGGCAACTGGAGTTACTTGACATTACAATTTTCTAGGTCGATGCTAATATTATAAATGTGTAACTAGTTCATAGAATCGTATCTAACAGTATTATAATGCTACATTTGTTAATGTTGCTGTCGCCCTAATTATAATGAACATGAAATTTAGGAGATTTAGTACATGTCCCTTGAACGTTTGAAAGTCTCATACTGCAGTAATTTTTAATTTAGTCACCCGGGGAAATTAGTTCCCTTTATTTCGCATGAAGATAATTTTATATCAAATATATCACATGAGATAAGAATTACTGAAATTTTATATATCAATTCAAAGGAAAACTCTCAATAATTTTCTCGAAATTCCGAATAATAAGTCACATTTAGGTTTTACTGAATTATCTGTACCATGTTGGTTGATAGAATTAGGTGGCATAGCGCTAAATTTCCTAAGAATGAATATCTGAATGAACATTGTTAATTAAATTCTGAGTCCCTAGAGGGCTTAGTGCATTAACGCGGGAAGAGGTTATACAGGGTGTCCCAAGAAAAACGATACCCAACTTTGAATGGCTGTAACTCGAAAATAGAGTTAAAAAATTTGAAAGGTCAGAATTTGTTCCCTATGTTTTTCTCCATCTCTCCACCAAAAATCAGACAGATCGATGTAGCCATAAGCGTTTGATAGAACTTTCAGTGACATGTGCTAAAATCGTGCTTGCGCAAAGTTTTAGTAAGATCATTTTGCATAATCATTACGTTGTCTTGACATGTTTTCTTTTCGCTGTTTTATTTTTTAGCGCATTTTCTCATTTATGAAAAAATGCACTATTGTGCTCGCCATGTCCGTCTGTCCGATGGTCCGATGATCGTCCACCACTGAACGTTACATCGAATCATAGTCTCTTCATACCCTGACTTTAGCTCGAACTGTAACTAGGAGATAATGGCTGCGACCAATCAGCCCAGCTCGCCAGTGGAACTGCATGAATCCTGGGGTCGCCTGCCGAAGACCACCACTGCTCTGGATGTAATGGACCATCATGATTCCTGCCTTCCGGAACATAGCCTTCAACACTTCAAGCCGTCCGTATCTAGGCCGGGGGTCGAACCAGCCCTCGGTCGAACGGCCACTTGTCGAAGGACGATAAATTTTGGAACAGAACTATGCTATCTGAAACCTAACCTCAGATGCGGTGCACGTAAAATTGCTTAATTTGACGATGCCTGGAAGTCATATTCGATCCGCGGCCTGGTGGTGCGCGGCTGGTGGTGGTCAAGGCCGGAAAAGGACAAAGCCGAGTGGTTCAGGGCTGATTGGTGTAGGTCCGGAGAGATCCAAGGCGTTCGATTCAGGGCTTATTGGTGCAAAAATTTGTGGTGCACGGCTGCGCTCCCGAATCCTGCGATTGCTGCCGTGCACCACCACACGGTCACTTTTAGCTCACAGCATCCGGGGTTGGGTTTCAGATAGCATAGTTCTGTTCCAAAATCTATCGTCCATCGACGAGCCGCCATTGGACCGTGCGCTGATTCGACGCACGGAAAAGATAAGGACGGGCATCATATTCACTGCAGGGCTCCGGCGCGCTCTTTCCGAGTGGTGTAGAATATTTCTGCGTATTGGCAGACGATGCTGGGCCATACTACGTCAGGCTACTTTCATGTGGGCTGATTGATTTACTTCAATTGATGTGATCTGTCTGGTGGCTTGCGGCTGATAATGTTACAATCCAGAAGCATTATAGGCTATACTATTGAGGGAAGGGATCATGATAGTCCATTCGAAGTACGGCAGTTGTGGTTTCCGACTAGCATCCCAACTAGGAAACTCAGCTCGATTCTCCTAGAAGCACAACCTACCGTTCAATAAATTGACCCAGTAGGCGAGATGAATTAAAGATTAGAGTCTGAGGCATAAGATCTTAAGTCACTCTATTAAAAACTGATGCAAAGCATTCGCCTAAAGCTGAAAATTTCTACAAGTGTAGAGTGCCGAAAACTTGCATCGTACAATTGCTGTGTTCTGAAAGAAGTGATGGTGATAGTCGCCACACTATACAACTACGTTTTAAAAAATAATTGTAGAAACCAATTTTCCTTCACAATTGAATATTTTCCAATCATATACGTCATAGTATAAGCAAGACAACACAATGGAAAAGTGCGCGTTAACCTTAACAGTTTCAAGTTACTGCAGTAACTGATTGCAGCAGTCACCCGGTCACACTTCAACGTCAACAAATGGCTTTTTTTTCTGTAATCCATCGGTTAATGCATTTTAATTTGGAACTGAGGAAGTATTGACAGGCATCATTTTTTTAGGTTGTTGAAAAACGAAACGAAATTGTTAATCCCTTTTTCTTAGGACTGCTGTAAATACGGTTTAATTGAACTTTTTTGTTATGATCCGAGTGTGAACTTTTAATTTTTTATGCTAGTAAAAGTTTTTAGGCAGCGTGTATGACCGATATAAAGGTCGTGACCGGAGGTCACCACGCATTTCAATTTCATTTCATCCCGTATAAGCTTTCGCGTGAGAACCATAGGTGTGCTATGAAAGCACGTTAACCGAATAATTACGCTCATTGAGCTTCAGGAGCCGCGAATTTATATTTAGTGGTGGTGCGTATGATTGTTAAATAACTATATAATTTAAGCTTTTAAAATTCTAACTAAATGATATATAAATGGTTTGAAACACAGCTTAATTGAAACAGCTGATACATGGTTTAAAAGACAGCTTGATTAAATTAAGAAGTAAAGTATAAAAAATTCCAAAAACTTCATTATTTTTGAAATCTACAAATAAATCCGCTTGCATACGTCAGCAATTCTGACGAGGAAGAATTCAAACAAATGCTGCAGAGTACATGAGCTAGCTATTGAGTGAAACGGGTCAGTGGATTGAACAAAATCGTATTGCTCGTAACTCGTAAGTTCAATTATTTTTTTTTCTGGAATATTACCTTCATTGCTTACTAATGAATAGAGATAATTTGTAAATCCTTAGTTTAGATTGAAATTTCAGTGGAAATGCAATCGCAGGAAACGTCAGTCCATTTTCCGGGAAGTGAGGAGGTCGAAGATCCTATCGTTAAACGAGCGAACAGGTGAGAAGTTTAAGAGCTTAATTGTACAGATTTGTACTACAATTACACGTTAAAATGATGAAGTTTAAACTATTAAACATAAGTTATTTCAATGAGCTCAACTCTAGATGGAATTCAGAATAATGTAAAGAAGCAGTTGAAGGTGACGGTGAGTCGGTGACAGTCTGACTCTGACGACTGTCACCACTCACCAGCCACCAGTGCCACACTAACTTGTCACTAAGAGTAGGCTAACTTAGTAAGACTAACGTCCACTTACCATTACCGTCAATGCCGTGTCGCTAATGTCGCCATAGCACTAACGAGTTATGAGTAAGTTGTCTGTCTTCAATAAAAATGATCTATTAGGTAAAGTGTAAACCAAACGGTCTGAACCAGTGAACCTGAACTTTCAAGAGAGACTAAGAGAGTCTAACCTCTAAAGTCTAAAGAGATCAACTCATTAAATTAAAAATGGCCTTGTAGTTCTGTACTAATTATGTGGTAAACCATTCCTGGCATCCCAAGAATCCAGAAAGTGTAGTTCTGTGCCAGTGTGCCTCTCCTTACTCCTTAGTCCTAAGACCTAAATAAGGCTAAATTTAGGCTATTCTGTAATTTCTGTCTGGCTAGTTTTTAAATTTTGAATAATTTTTAATTGAAATTTCATATTATCATTTTCACTCATAAAGTTTAGAAAAATCAGTCTGAAATTTACAGTAAACATGGGTCATGGAGGGTTATGGAAAATATCTAGGCTCCTCCACTCCTGCTCCCAAGCCCCAATGCTCCAAAGTCCATACTCCAAGTCCATTGACCATTGTACTTGATTGTAGCCATGACAGGTATAGTCCAGTTCCAGACTCTTCTCTAGGTTGTGCATTGTGACTGGATTTTGTCATTTTGGAGCCACAAATTTAGCAGTTTTGCAGCTAGAAGGAAACAGAAGTCCTAAATTAATTTTTTGAGATAAGTATGCACTTTCTAAGAAATAAAATTATTTGAGCTGTCATCCTGTCAATACACTTACTCCGATCACTGCTGTATGTTAAATATCAAGTATTTATTTTTATCTTGAAAATTGAAGCAAACTTTGCAACTATATGGCTGTTAATACTAAAGATAACATTATGCATGGCAATTCTGGCTAATGGTAATTACTAATAGTGTGGAAGAGCCTAACCCAAAAATTGGGCAGGAGACTAGGAGTCATCACTCGTCTGTGACAAAAATGCCTGTGAATCTGGCAAATTTTATCTGCAATTTTGATGTTTGTAGTGGACTGAGTATAATAGTATGTACAAGGCATGTTTTTTAAGTAAGGACCATTTTGAAATTAAAAATAAGACATGCATAGATATTACAATAATTTTACTTTTACACATGCATGGTGGCAGGGAATTATTGTGAGTACTTATGCGTTTGCAAGAGCATCGACCGGTCCGGCTCAGCGGGGGGGGAGGAAGGGCTGTCTCTTATACACATCTAGATGTGTATAAGAGACAGGAGTAACAAAGACCATCACTTTTTTTTAAATTACATAAAGACTATGAGAGGCAGGAGCCAGCAATTTATGGTGAGTGAAGCTAGAGTATAGACCTGTATTTTGCATGTTTCAATTCAAGTTTAATTTAGCTAGTAAAAAAATGGCATCATTTATAAAAAAAGTGGTCTAAGTTACCCCATTTTACGGTACCCTACTCTACTTTTTTCATAACTTCTGTGAATATTGCGGCACTTGTTACAACGTGGCACCAGTTTTTGAATACTCTTGTGATGCAATTATGCCTCCTGACTTGGAGGTGCAATTCTGCTGAAGTGGAGATAAAATTCTGCTGAAAAATGCCTGAAATTTCTTCTTTCACATCTTCTTTGTCTTCTGAAATTTCTTCTTGTTGTCTCATTATGACAATTGACAAATGCCTCTACATTCATGGAAATTATGTAGAAAATTAGATTAAAGTACAGGCTTTCATGTATAAAATAAAATTATTGCAATATCTTTGCCCATATTTTTTTAATTCAAAAATTGTCCTTACTTAGAAAACATGCCTCATATTAGTATCAGTGTATCTAGATTCTACATTCTAGACTTCTAGTGCCTCATCTTCACCCATATGGTTCATGAGGATATGTATGTGGTGTGTCTGCTGATCTGCAATATTATTTATTGCTGGAATATATTAAAATGAGACCAATAGGCCTGATCTGCATTGAAACATCCCTTGGAAAACAGAAGCTTTTTGAGTGTAGTACCTCCTCACAGAGAAAATTTACTCTCCAAGCCAGTAGCCACTAATCTATTCAAATCCAGCAAACTTATTCCAAGTGCTATTAGATTTTTATTAATAAAATTTTATCTTATCAATTTTGTATTCAAATGATAGATTCTGACTTCACGATTTCACTTAATTGCTCTGAACCAAAATAAATTGGTCTTGGCTGAAATTTTTTATTGGATGTTAGAAGTTTAACACACCCAGTCTAATGTTAGCTTATAATTGTATATATTTTCATATTTTGAAGTCATTGTTGAATTGTAAATTGTAAAGTCTATTGACAATGGCTCTTAATATTTGATTTTTTTTCAACTGGTATATTTTAGTCAAATTAACTGGCAACTTAGATAAAGAAGAAAGTAAAGGTCTTGCTACTTTGGAAAATATTTGAGTTTAATTGTTTAATTTAATTTAATTTAATAATTGGTAAAAAAAGATTATTTGTGATTCTAATTGCTACTTTTATCTTCATTACAATGACATCAGCCTAAATTACAATCTCACCCTTTTTACTGCTCTGCAGCTTGTTCTAGAATTCTTTTTAAAATTTTTTTTATGGTACAAGAATTTTACTAATTAAATTTAGGTTTTTCTGTCTGTGTCTCTTGTATAATTGATGTACAAATTTGATTTGATTCACTTGACTAAGCAGCAGGTGGTGGATGGTTAACAAGATGCAGCTTCCAGCTGGCATTCAGTTGTCATCTGCTGCTGCTAGAGAGTGGCTGCATGGCAGGCGTTCAAATTTAAGGCCTTGGGCAACCTTTGTCACCACATCCAATTTCAAAGTGAGATTATTCATAATTGTGTCACTTGTTAGTTTCTATTATGATATTTAGTCTGTCAAATTATTACAAGTCTTAACCCTTTAGCAACCAACATTGTTGTGAGTGCAAAAAAACACATTGCATCCATATCTCATTGCTGAAATTCATTCTTTTAAAAAAATTCCACTGGTAATTTATGAATATATGTCCACATGGTTATATCTCAGCCTGGAATTCAAGGCCACACATTTGTTCAATTTGATGAATGATCTTCATACCAGAACAAGAAGTGCCATTTGGCAGATGATATACAAGATATATTTTCATTGATTGTTAGCCTTTATTGTCTGAAATTCTTAGCACAGCCGGTTTCAAAAGAGCCTTCTAATATGCCCTCCACCTTGTGAAGAAACCTTATTTCACACAGTTAGAGTGTATAAATTAAATTTTAATGCAAAATAAATTTTACAAAAAAATCATTATTACTCGTGATTGGATTAAGCCTTTCTTCTGTTGATTTTTTATAAGTAGGCATATTTAGAATATTTTCTTTTGTACGGTATAGGAATTAATTTAACTTGGTTATAGATTTGTGGAGGTAATTATGGCAATGACAAATGTTCCATTCCTCTACCTGAATTATTTAGTTAATTTTAAGTTAATGTGCTGTAATCTTATGTGCTATTTTTTTGGCAGGGACCCCAGTCTCTGAAGCGCTGGTCGGTCCGGCTAGCTAAGAATGTGGAATACTTCCAGAGCAACTACTTGTTTGTGGCTATTGGGCTCATCATTTATTGCTTGTGGGTAAAATTGCTGCATGCTTTATTCCATCATTAAATTACTGGTGAATTAATACTAAATCTCATCAGCAAGAAAATTTATTAAAAAAAAGTAGTTCTTTAGTGAAAATTACTTTATGCCTCTTTGATGTTTGCAAATAAAGATACTATTGATGTCAAAAGATGATGTTTGTACAATATATAATAACTTGTCATCTGTTTGGAGCGTACAAACATTTTAGTGACTGCCATTTGTTTTGCATCAGGGTGACGTCTCCTCTTCTGCTGCTGGTGCTGGCGAGCATGGGTGGGGCATGCTACATCGCAAGCCTCCGTCAGAAGGAACGAGCCCTGGTGATTGCGGGTCAGACCGTGCCCTTGCCTCACCAGTATGTGGCCATTTTGCTGGTCTTCACTCCAATATTCTTCTTTGCTGGGGCAGGAGCGGCGCTCTTCTGGGTCATCATTGCAAGCTTCATTGTTGTGATGGCACATGCATCATTCTATTCCATCGAGGCTTTGCTTGGCGATGAGGAAGCTCCCTTCGAAATGCAGATGGATGAGGTTGTTTGCTTATAAGATCGTGTTTTTCATCCTTCAATTTATTTATATCAGTCTGTACAGAATTTAATTCTGGCCTGGAAAATTAGATGCAGAAGGTTTGTTCTTATTGGTGTAGTTTGCCTCTCAGTGAGAAAGAATGCTATAAATTTCATGCAGTACAACGCTTCAGAGCAGGAAGATGAATTTGGAGATTGATTTTTATCTTCACAGGTTTATTAGTTGTAGGAGATGGCTTGTAAACCACCATGAGCCATTTTCCCATTAATGTTCTGGATAATTAAACTTCTCAGATAAAATGAATTACAAAGTAAATAGGATCTTCATTCTGCTGTAGTCTGCATACGCCCATCAGGACGTGCTTTCTTACGCGTCTTTCCAGAAGTTTTTGTGACTATTAATCACCTAATTTTTGAAAATTTCTATGACATTAATTTTGTTTTGCTATTTGTTTTCTACCTGACAGGTATAGCACTTGGACGGACAGAGGGCAACTGTTCAGCTCTTGCCTTGAAGATCAAAATACGGGGTTAGGCCGTCGAGATTAGTAGAATGAAGGTGTTGCTTAAACTGCGGTTTGCTCTCTGCAACTTTCAACCGACTTAATCCCTATAATATTTTATGCTTGAAACTCTTTATTTATGGATGAGTATTATGTAATCAATCGTTGTGGTTGTACATCAATGTTAATTTTACCTTTAACTTAGCGGCAGCTGCTCTGTTATGTTGATTTTTTTTCAAAAAGTAGGTAATCATTTAACCTCTATACTTAAGAAGTGGACGGTAGAGACCTCGCTTTTGGCTTAAAATTATGCTGAACACTTTTATGTGACACATTATTGGAAATTTTCTTTATGCTTTTTAGCCTCGTGTATTATTTAGCTAGCGCTTTTGTTGCATTTAAGAGCAGTGCATCTCCAATGCCCATCTGAACCAATCAATGTCTGTGATCCCTTTCAATGTTCTCGTAAAATGAGCGTTACCAGGAAGAGCTTTGTGTTAATCAGCGCTTTTTTTCTAAATTCAATTGGCGTTGTAACGAGCTCCTGGTTCTCTTAAACTAAACTGCTGTGCTTTGCTATACATCAATAAATTTGGCACTGCATGCGGTGAGGTACGGTAGCTTTACTTGCTTGATTGCTTAGGAATTTCAAACTTGATTAAGAACAACTACCTTTTTCCAAAATGTGCTCCAGTTTTGGACTTGAAGGCAATTCTACAATCTATTGACATGCATTGATTTTACCCGTGGCTCTTGCTTCGAATCTCTCAAGTATTACTGATGTCCAGCCGTGTATCACAACAGTGCCTACTTAATGTTAACAAATGCTACTATTTCGACTTACCTGAAGATCTTATTTTATGAGCGTTGTTCTTAGAGCTTTACTTCTACTTTATGGTGTCGTGGTTTCAGCAAATTACGCAAACATTTGATATTTAATACTTTTCCCGTTAATGTTTAATTTAGCATCTAGTAACCAATTCGTTGTCAACTCGGAGCCAAAGTTTTCTGTTATTTCAGTCTGAGTATTAACGACAGGCCATGAAAATACTTTTCCTAAGATGTTCTGTCTGTTATAAATTTTTCCGTTGTAGATTATGTAAGGATAAATATGTATGTATCCTCCTTCTCTGGGATTTTATATTAATTTTCGTTCGTGATAATTTGTTGTTTGTATCTACACGTTATTTCTACAGACGTGGCATTATATAGAGGCCAAAGGTATCAAATAGACGTAGCTGAAGGGTGGAAATTAACGACAGGAGCCACAGCAATAAAATGATTAGCTGCTGCAGTATTTTTGTACTCAAATCATACATTAACGTGGCAATGATTTTCTTTGCATGGAACCTACTCAATAAGTACGTTGTTATACGTCACCACTTGAATCATGTTCAATTTATTATAACCTACCAGAATCTCGTGCGAGTTTCAATACCCGAGTTACACGGTGTATCTGCCTCTTCACGTGTCTGTTGACGATCTATTGACTATATATTAATTTCAGCTAGAACAGATATATTACCGGCAATAATTACTTTGTTTAGTAGGGTATTAAGCGTAACCAAAATTTGGAGTAGGAGTATGAAAACTACTGAGATTTTGAGAATACCAGTGAATTTTGGGCAAGAAAATTGACAGCTCAACAATGCATACAAATTTATTCACTCGAAATTTAAACTGGCTGTGGACTTGTTAGTTTTGTGATACGTTAGAATTGACGATATTTGTAAATTCATCACTGAAACCTGCTCACTCAATTTTGTGATCATTTCGAATAAGTTCATTTGAAATCCTAAAAAAATATATTGAAAGGAAATGCTATAGAGACACCTGCTAAAATAGACATTGGCCGCGTATGATGGAAAGATGGTGTGAACTCGAAATATGGAAATGGTTGAAGTTGATTTGACGCTGTACATGACGAGCGGGAGAATAGAAAAACACACTTGTAGTCTCCAAATAACGCTACATTTTATGCCTTAGTGACACGCTTTAGTTCAGCATAAGGCTAAATCAGTGCTAGGTCCGCTCTCTGCTCGTGCTGTGGCTAAAAAACCGAGTCATTTGGAGAACAAGACAGGGGCCATACTTTCAAAATTCGCTAAGTGAACGTAAGTACTTACGCTCTATTTTCTTGTCTGTGATTGGTGGATTTTGCTTGAAAGGCCGTCAATGATTGGCTGATGAACTTACGATCTCTTAACTTTTTTTGAAGGTATAGGCCCTGTTCATTCTTATGAGTGCAGTGTGTCGATAGAGAAAATATGATGATACCTAAAGAATGAATGAAGATTTTCGAAATTGAATGCCTTAGAGTAAAAATGAACGTCTGATGAAATTGATCTTAGTAACGCAAGATGGAAAGTAAACAGTTAATCAGATGCACTATAAATTTACAGACAGGGACAATAAACTACATGGTTTTGGTTTTAAATGCACTATTATAATGAGTAGGTAAGTAGTCAGGGCGGTCTGGGGCCATACTTTCAAAATTCGCTAAGTGAACGTAAGTACTTACGCTCTATTTTCTTGTCTGTGATTGGTGGATTTTGCTTGAAAGGCCGTCAATGATTGGCTGGTGAACTTACGATCTCTTAACTTTTTTTGAAGGTATAGGCCCTGGACTACTAAACATTGCATGGCTGCCTACAAACTGTTGTCAATTGTAACAGGACGTGTCGGGTGGTTTGGAACGGTGCATGTAAATCATTCTTACAACAGTCGATGACATAAGATGGCAGTTGTGATTCATAGTTTAGTTGAGCAACACGGAACAGTAAAGATCGTTCTATCCGACACAATAGATGCGGAGTAAGGGCCTCCTGGTCAGCGTCACACACCGCTACATGAACAGCTGGGCTAAATTTGAAACAAATCATTGCAAAATTTGAAACAAATCATGGCTAAACTTGCAACACAGGTCACGATAGAGTCATATTTGTACTGCCTCGTAATTTAATTGCTGTACAGGCTTATAGGTGAGAATCATGGAATCGAAAAAATTGTACAACAATCTAACTTTTTGCATCGAAAGACGACTTGTCATGAATGTAACGGATTCCTGGTTTCAAATTTTGATGCAAATGTGTGAGCTAGATGCATCGAATTCTGACAGCAGCACAATAACCCCTAAGCGCTCTCAATATGTTGCCAATGAGAGAACATTAAAAAATTTATCACAATTCATATGCGATGCTCCATGCGAGTCATGCATAATCTCATCAGAAAAGGGCTTTCATCACAAATCAGATCTACATTTGACCAAATTTCTTATACTTGCACGCTATGATCGTAAATTGCACATCACTGACTTATTGATCAGATTAGTTCATCACATCCTATTGGGACATCGGTTCAAAAATACAGGGTTGAAACTGCACAACTGAGTATCAAATTAGATGATCTTCATGCAACGAGATTTATGCATAGTACAATCTGCTCCAAGGTAGTACAAAAATCCATCTCTACAGCAAACAGTTCCAACAGACTAAAAACATTACAGGCCAAAGTGCTGAGGCAAAGCTATAGCAAGGCAGTTTAAGTTATCTTTAGCAATGAGTTCATTCCGATGCACCCAAAATGATACCAGGGTCATCAGAAACTTCATATCACGCAAAGAATTTACAGAATTTTTCCGAACCGAAGTTTAAAATTTTGCCGTTGGAAATTGATTAAGGCAAGTGGCATAAATTAACATAAAAAATTGGTAGCTTTGAAGGTTGTCAAGTACATTGAATTGGATACACAATGTACACGCAATGAAAAAATGGAATTAAAATCATTAACAGAAAATTGTATGTCAACTAGAGCCTTTTCCCGATTCCATGCATGAGCCGTTTATTCTATTAGCTTTTTCACGTCGAATTTCGTCAATGTTCTTAATTATGAGTTTTTGACAAAAATCTTCAGAGCTTTTTGATTTTCTATGTTCCTGACGAGCCGGTCTTCTTCTATGGTAGTAATCACGAGCGCGACCTTCGTAAGGATTTCTCCAACGATCATTAAAACCACCAAGGCAGTCATTCTGGATGTTGTTGGCCCACGTGGAAGATATCCTTCCAGCAATACTCACTTGCGGCTGAAATCGATTTATTGGAGTGGTGCCATTGAGAATTGCATCTTCAGAGGATCGCATTTTCTTGTAACTGTTTTCCAAAGGTAAAATATTCGTTGAAAGTTTCCTTTTTCCTCCCTCTCTGGTAGCGTACATTGAGGAGTATTCTCTAGGATAAGCAGAAGGGGTGAATTGTTGCACAAACTCCTGCGATGTCCCGTTACAATAAACATCATTGTCAGCATTTAGCGGTTCTTCATTGTGACAGGAATACATAGGAGTTTTAGGAACGGATCCTGACGTGTGAGTATTTGAGGTTAGCCGAGGCTTGGTGCCCAGTGTCTCGGCCAAGATGACGCTTGCTACGCCACCTTTCCTAATTCTGCGCTCGCAATAACGGACTGGACGCGTTGTGGTGCCAACATCAGCATTATTGTCAAAAGTGATGCGTCTATCAACTGCTGGAGGTCTGCTTACAACTGACCCGCTGCTTCTTTCTTCAGTGAGAGGTGACGACTCACAAGAAGAGACTGTAACGCTTGACAAAGTATCTTCAGAGGGCGAAATGACAGGAGAGCAGATGGGCGTGGCAGGGAGGCTAGGTGGAGCCTGATCTGTGCTCTCTGAGTTTTGAGTATCTTGAACAATATTGTCGACTTCATCCACGAACAGCTGAAAATAATAAAATAATTTAGAGCACTTGAATCCAAATTGAGATCTGATTAGTCATAAAATTAACAACTTTTTCATGAACTTTTTTTAATGTTAAATTGAGAGTATAGTACAAGAGAGAAAAGGCAGGAAGTTCTCACCTGCTGTATTGAGCCAAGCCCTGTATAAAAGCCATCATCATCATCCTCAAGGACATATCCAAGCAAGTCTGCTTGCTCATTTTGAATGTTCTTAATAAGTTTGAGCTCTTGGATTCGTTCTTCACTTAAGGTTTGACGGCCCAAGTTGTGCTGGGGTGTTAGTTTCTCTTCATCATCATCTTGCAAGTCAGATAGTAAAACAATGACTGCAGGATGAGGAGGGATAGGAGTAGGCGAAGGAGAGCAGCTTGAACGAGGGCTTCCAGTAGGAGATGTTGCACATGCGAAAACTTCATCTGCAGAAAAATAACAAGATTAAGACACTATTTCAAGAAAATGAAACAACTCAACTTAATTAGGCTACATGCATAAAATTTTTACATTGTATACTGTATCATATGATGCACCTGAAACATTTTCAGTAAGGTAAATTAGAACAGTTGGAAACACAACACATAATTACAATTTTTTTTACTTTAATGAAGAGACACGGTGCATCTTAATTAATAATTCATGGTGCATTGTAGAAATAAAAGGACTTGAGCTGTTTCATTGCTTCTGCTTGGGGGATTGGAAACCAGGTTTTGCTTCAGAAAAAAATTACCTAAAATTGAAAGCAGGTTTTGCAGACAGCTGGCAAGATTTACAAGGTTCTATTCATTATATACAGTATCAACTAGTGATATGCATATCAGTGAACATTTCAGTGAACAGTCACTCCATCACAAGATATTTGAATCTTCTCACCATCATGGTCAATAGTTTTCATTAAATTTCATCTCTAGCGCCTGTCAGCTGTTAAATCAAATTTCCAGTATATTAATTCAGTAATGGGCATCATCTAATTCCCAAGCCTGTTTATAAGTTTTTTCACTAGAAGATTACAAGCCAGATTACAGTTTATTCACTGCAGGAACTTGAGCATGATTATGGGTCTCTTTCATTAGATTTCCAAGCCTGTCTTCATCAACGATTTCTTCATCCTGGGAGCACTGTTGCTTTGCAGGAGAGTTCTGTCAGTAAAACTACACTGCCAACTGGAGGATGCTGTCGCTATAGCTGAATAACACCTAGCATAACAGGTCATGGAATCCTGCCAGTATCTTGTCATAAGAGCCAATAAAATAACTTACAGGATCTTTAGGATGCATAAAGCTTATGGAGGCATCTTTCTGTTTGACTTTCTTTCAAATCCATCATTTCCATTCATGCAATATACTGCCACTGATCTGTGCATTGAATTCCTTGATGGCCTACAGTTGTTCTCCTCTATTAACTTGACATCTAAAACTGGCCACTCAATTTACCAAGATACAAATGAAATATTTCAAAATCAGTAATTTTAGTCAATCCTCAAAAGTCAAACTCCAAAAAATAAAGAAAAAATCAGTATTTTGCACAGAAAAAAGTAACAACTTTGGTTTGAATAGATGAGCATGTCCATAATGGTTGCTTTGTTAAAAAATGTATTGAAGAGCTCTTGTCTCTTTTAGATAGTTATCACATAAGAATCCAGCTGACTATTTCAAGTAATTTGCTGCACGTTCTGTAAATTTTATCATTTCTGCTGACACTGCTTACATATATTACAGATTTTACAAAAAAAAAAAAGTACTGCAGAGCAAGAATAAAGCCTAGTTCAAAAAATATCGTCCCACAAATGTTAGGCAAGATTTTGCTTCAGAAATATTATGAATAATTTTGTTGGATTCACAATGAAAACTACAGACTCACAGCTAACTAATCTTTTTACAAAGTAGTTGTAATTCCATTAGACCCATAAAAAAAAAAACATTTTGTTCAATGTTGAGCAGCTAATGCATCCTCAAATCTTAGGAAACTTGCATCAACATCAGACTGAGGCTGCAGATAAATTTTGAAAAAATTAGAGACTATGAAGCAATAACTTTTTGTAATATTGGATCAACAGGTATTGAAAGACCATAGATTATGCTTGGATACAAAAATTATCATATTAAAAATTTGAGGGCAGTTCTGTACACTAAGACACCAGCAGCTATCAATTTAAGCCACCAAAGAAGCAAAAAATAGAAAATGAACATGGACAAGAGAGTTGTTTTCAAACCCTTTAGCAAACAGCTACCTTGTAAGTGTAAAATATCATATTGCATCCATACCACAAAGCTGAAAATTATTCATTGAAAAAAAAAACCTGACAGGTAACCAGAACCACCACCTAGTCACAGCACAGTCTGAATTTAAACCCAATATCATTTATTTGTCCACTTAGAAAAATGAGCTTTAAATATGAACAAAAATCACCCTTATGAATGGCAACAGATGGGGTGTACAGTTAGAGTGCTAGATGCTACAGGGCTAATATTCTCACTGTTTTTCTTTTGGAGCAAGTTCGTTCAAAGTAGATATAAAAATATCATACGCGTCTAATAGTACTTGTCAAAAATTAAAAAAGTTATTGTTTGTCAACATGAATAATGAGTTTATTATTGAAAGAGACTCACCAATAGTTGAATCATCTACACGTGATGTTTCTTTCCTATGAAGATATGTGCAGTTTGCTCTTCTGCAGCCGCCTGGCTGCTGTTCAAAGTAGCATTGAACACTGATGCGAGGAGCCTGATCAAAGAGGACAGATATTACAGATAGGTACTCATAATCCAAGTAATTCAATGAATTAAACTAATGAAAGCATATAAAACCTTGATATATATATTTGGAGATATTAAAAATCATATGAAATAGGAATGAACTTGAACCTGATAAATAATTTTTTTTCATGCAGATTCATATCATTAACAAAAGTATTTGTTATGCCAATTTATACTTGCTTCGTCATATGAATATAAGAAATCTACATATTTTAGTTTTTTGTACAGATATAAGGGTTTCCTTATTACAGTAACAATTTGATGAATTTACATTTTTTACAAGAACAAAACTAAACACAGAGCATTATTTAAATTTCACCATGAATTAAAAGGACTTCTAAAACAAATCATAAGGAGTGAAATAGCTTGCAACTTACAGTAATTTCCATATGCCGGAATGTACAGTGAGGCTTGGTGCAATTTCCCAGAATCCAGAAGCGGCACGTGGTTTCACTATTCAGAGCTGCAGGCTCATGCCTGTACTGACAAGCAGAGCCTCGGTTGCATGTTGAATAATAATAGAAGAAGCAATCATCTAGATTTTTCATTGCTTCTGCTCCAAGGGATCTAGGCTTCATCTCCATATTTCCTGTAAAAAAAATTACCTTACACTACAGAAAATATTGAAGTCAAGTCATGTCATAAATAAATCAATTAATTAGAATCTAAAATGGATGGTGAATGACATGCTGTGTCAGCAGCAATATGGTACTCCTGCAGTATTGCAATAAAAAATATTCAATGTGACCTAAAATGTAAGGCAAGTTTTCATGACTTGTTGGTGCACCATAGGATCCATAGGATAGAAAAACTATAAAGCACATTCTTAGCAGCAACAAATTTTGAATCAGCATAATAAATAATAAGAACTGTGACCAGTTGAAACAGAAAAAAGTCAAGCTGCCCCAGAAATCTACAGATTTTAAGTCAAGTTATGAGACTTCAATGATGCTAATGTCACATTTACAAGTGCTATAATTCTCTCTTTATATTATTCAAAATCACGTAACCAAAGCTAAGCATGTCGCATCGAACGGGTATGCATCTTCCGATGATGGCGATGAAATAAATTGCAAATGTTGCCTTGATCTACAGGTTGAAAATTCTTGGAAAACTAAATACAGGAATTAATCAATCGTTGCATTAGAAATATTTGAAAACGTTTTCCATGTAAACAGAACTTGATATATACAGTAAAATTAAATCTTTATTTTTAATAATGAATGAACGAATTAATTTATGACTTCCCTGTTCAATTGTGTATCAAAACATTACATTTCTTTCTAATGCTGGTACTGCTTTATTTGGTTTGGTCAACATGGTTTCGTGATCTCGATGCTTATCTGGTTGAAAAAATTGCACTTTGCAGACCGGTCGGACAAAAGCGCGAGAGCGTTAGCTATGGCCAGCCTAGCCCTGAATCTGCCCTACACCTGCTCTCCCTTTAGGTATGTTTTATTTCCTCAATTTGTAACCAACAATTATGAAATTAAATACACGCTTATTGCGCAGTTGCGACGATTTTTTTTACCTCATCTCAATTGCAAATAAAACAGTAAAACGGGTGCAAACCGGCAAATTCAGTCATGTAGGTACATTTTATTTCCTCAATTCGTAACCAATAATTATGAAATTAAATACATGGTTTCACATGCTTATTGCACAGTCACGACAATTTTTTTTACCTCATATCCTTTACAAAAAAAAAAAAAATGGCAAAACGGGTGCAAATGGGCAAATTCAGTCCCATAGCTACGTTTTATTCCCTCATCGAGGTACCTCAAGGTTAGGTCAAGTCAGCAAAGATCTTTTTTATTACTAAAAAAATAACTTGGCAGACTTAACCTAACCTGTAAAGACTCTCAACTTCATAATCGTCATTTTATGTGTTTTTCAATGACCGGGCCCATGATCTGGTATTATTCTGATATGGGCCTAGTCTGGAATTATACCAGAAATGAATGGGTGTGGTATGCATCCTTATGTACCTTAGGTACCATGCCTTCTTATGTAAAAAAAATTATTGTGACTGCGCAATAAGCATGTAAAACCATGAATTTAATTTCATAACTATTGGTTACAAATTGAGGAAATAAAACGTACGTACATGACTGAATTTGCCCATTTACACCCGTTTTATTTGCAATTGAGACAAGGTAAGAAAGAAAACAAAAATCATTGCGACTGCGCAATAAGCATGTGAAACCATGTATTTCATTTCATAATTATTGGTCACGAATTGAGGAAATAAAATGTACCTAAAGGAAGAGCAGGTGTAGGGCAGGTTCCGGGCCGGGCTGTCCCACACTGTAACCCACGCTAACGCTCACGTGCTTTTGTCGGACAGGTACTTTGTAGCTTTTTACTGATAATTTCAAAGCATTTGCTAGTGCTTTCCTTCTAGCAAAATGACACTTCGAACATTTTTACAGCAGGTAACGTGGCATGGTTGTAGTGACCAGATCTATTTTATCCCCATCTACTGATCATATTTCAATTAAACTTTGTGCAAGAAATGAAATAATTATTCTGGTGTGTTTAGCTTGCGACAAATTTTATAATTTCGACTCCAATCACATGTCACACAGCAATATGTGCAAGAATTTCCTGTGGCCAACAAATTCTTCCAAATTACTTAACAAATCTTAATAAACTCAAGAACATGGACTCACTAAAGCTTTTTCACATGTGTTAAGATTGCAATATTTTTCCGATTACCGCTGCATTCTCAAGTTATATGTCTGATCTTTAGACATTTGTACAAGAAGAGCTATAAACAATAGGGAAGGAATAAATTTCGAATAGAACATCAACTTAAAGCCTTCAAGTTTGAGGTCTAGAAATTTATTACTTGCTACATACAGTCAGCATGTTACGAATGTAATAGTTTAAATTTTTCTCTGAATATTGTTGTGATCAGTTGATATTGGTTATAATTGTGTGATTAATTTTGCCCTTTGTGCAAAAACTACCTCCATTTGTACAAATGGTATGAAGGTTACAGAAGAGGCACACAGAAAATTTTATTGTAGTCAAGTTTCAACTTGAAAAGAAGTCAACAACCAGTGCCATCTGTCAGATTTTTCTTCCAAGCTTGAACACATACGACAGACAGAACCAGAATTTTGTAAACTTGTGACTGATAATCGGCAGATGCTGCCTTGTACATTTCTGTTTCTAGCGGTGGCGTGAACATGACTGGCATCTAAAACAAAAAAAAAAAAAATGCAAAATGATAGCAGTCAGTGTATTATTTTTTAAATATATTATGTCTTAAATTATTCATAGTTGTTGAAATATATAAATTAACTATTAATCCAGATTTGGAGTTGTTGTAATGACCAAAAAAATGGTCATTAACTTTACAAAAAGTCGTTGAAATTCTGACGACTCGTGCCACTTTATGAAACCTGGCATCCTTTGGAATCAGGATTGGAATTTTTCTACTTGTTTCTGAAATCTCACAGCTCTAACATGTCAAATTTTTAATACAATTGGAATCTTGCAGCCTGATTGTGCACTTTTGTTAACAATTAGACAGGAAGTAATTCATCTGCTGGGAATCTCACGGTTCTGGAAACGGTGGAAAAACTCTAGTTGCGGACAGGATGGAATTCTAATATTGACGGTTCATATATTATTCCCGATACTCCTACACCAGTTTTTCAATTCAACATTATTTGAGGCAAAAAAATGAACTTCTTATAGGCTTAAAACACATATGGGTATGCTAAGTTTTCTTAAGGTAATTCACTTGGAAATGTTGCGTGCCAGCATCCCAGCAAGGCTGCAGGCGCTGCTTTCACTCAACAATTAAAATTATACAAAGTATTAGTTCGTTAAAGATTTGTCTCTTAATATGACTGCAAAGAACTAAACTTAAAGTAATTACAGCTACCGTGAGTGACTACGCTGTAAAGTTTAAAGCAGACTTTTCCATGATGCACACACTAAACACGCAATTCATGGGAGCAAGACTAAATAGAACAACAAAAGCAGGCGCCCGGCATGCAACTACAAAAACAAATGACGATCGCAGCAGCAGCGGCACGGTTCATAACGTTAATATACTCAATGCAAGAGAATGATTAATTATGATATTCCTGATGGAGGTTTGAAATATTTTCAGAAGCCCAAAACTATAACAAATTATTTTGTTACTTTGACATGGTTGATTTCAAAATAAATATTTTAATGCAAATTCATGAAAAACATTTAAAATAAATTGAATAATGTTCATTTATATCTATAGGTGGGAGTAATTCGAGTAAACAACTACGAATCGATTTATTATCCTTTAAATAATAATCTTTGAATTGAAACTTCTGGAAGATGTGTCCACCGCAATATTTGTACAGTGGTATCAAGAGTCAAAGCTGTCAACCAATCGTTGGATGGCCGCAAATATGTCGCTTCGTTCTACCTATTACAGTCAATAGAACCTAAATAAACTCTGTTCATCGAAAGGACAAAAGCTTATGTATCAAACATACGTGGTAGTAAAATAAATTTTGAGATCTCCAGTCATGAGACTTAAATTCATACTCATAGGTGATCTTGAATTTCTGCACTGCGTTCAATTAAGCAATTTGTAAAATCATAAATTCCAAATAGGTACCAACTTTTTCAATTTAATTCTGAATGAGTCACGCCTGTTGAATTCTAATAGGGATCATTAATTTTTGCATCGTATTTCTGAAAATCAAGTAGGTATTGCATTTCTTTTAAATTAAAAACATTCATTTACATCAAAACAACGATTTTTTTCTTACAGCTTCTTTGATAATGATCTCACTCATATAACTTAATATTTTAAATTTAATGATTTTGTCATTTCGATGACTAAACTTTCTTTGGTTCATTAAAATAAAATAATTACTGCTTATAAACAACCAATGTTTTCTAAAAGACACAAGACGTTTGAAAACTCGCCATGGGAGACAAAATCCCTCAGGATTTGAAGTGGAGTGAAGTTATTAGGACAAATCTGACATTATAGGGCGAAAACATGAATAAATTCGTATTTAGAAGCGTATCAATTGGTGTTTAATTTTTGAAACAATTTTCCATTATTTAAATGTCACTGTGAAATGTGGATCAAATCTATTTATTATGAAATTGAACTTAACAGGACCAAAACAAGGTATCTGACACCGTCTTGTCGAATGTCAACAGTCAACACAATATTGCCATACGCCGTGAGAGATTAGCAGTTTATCCCATCATTCTGTGTGGATTCAAGAACTTTGTTGGTATTGGTGAAATTGTGAGAATTTTCTGCGAAAGTTTACATAATTTTTATTTTGGAACATTTTCATTACAAAATTTGTCGATACGGATACACGACTAGTGATGTATTGGAGGGAAGTCGCCGACTTTTTATCGGTTGTCGAATCACACGCAAGCGAGTTAGAGGAAGTGCAGCTGTCCGGGTGTCGGCAGTTTCTGACGAGCTCAGTGTAAGAGTATCAAATTATCAATTGTCACTTTGGTGGAAGGTGTAAGGTGGTAAATTTTTCAATACATTTTCTTTTGTTAACATGATAATATATTACCTATACAGAATTCCGTACTGGGGAAGTCGCCAACTTTTTATCCATTTTCGAACCGCACGCAAGCGAGT